GCGAAGTGATGAACTTAATACTGCCAGTTTCAACAATAAAATATTAAAAAGCACCACTAGACAAATATAATCGTTTTCGAATACGAAGTTGGAAAAATATATATATATTCATTAGCATCACCCAAGTTAAAAAGATCTGTATTACAAAGTTTAGCATGTAGCGTGGTGTCGATTGGAGATTGACTATGAACACCGCTACCAAGAAGCTCGTGTCAAATAACTCCATAAAATCCCCCGGAAGCCAAATATCAGAAGGCAGTTAATGGACCAAGTCGAGATATATTTGCTGGCGATCTCGTGGTATCGAAAGGATACCGAGATCGTGTCAGGATACAATCTTGGTTACAGAACGTTGCCGAATTCGCGCGAAGTCACAATCAAAGTGTAAGAATAATGGATGTTTTTAGCACAGTTAAACAAAAGCACATTAAAATAGTCATTGGTACTAATGGTTATAATAATAATTGTTTTCAATAAACCAATCGCGTTCTCGTGATAAAAGTGAGTCACTACAAGCAATTTTTGAAGCGAAATACGCAGTAGTTTTACAAACCCACATGATGTGTCCGATATTACAACACATAAAGCATTTAGCATGATGAAATACACATGAATTACGTGTGTGAATTTCACCACAGGACAAACATTTACCAAGCTTGTGCTCACCCTTGTCACCTGCTTTGAAAATCCTCACTGAATTGTTATCCATGTTTCCACGAGAACGAGTGTTATGGTCAATTAAACGCCTATCTTTATGGCCTTGAGTACACGTTGAATTCGTATAACTAAGCACTGTACTAGGATTCTTGATGTCCTAGAAGTCAATTTCACGCACTGCCTCATAATTAATACACACAGTTCTAGCATCTTGAAAAGAACACTTCGACATTTGTATGAACGTTTTTTCCAGATCTGATACGTTAGTCTCTGAAATCAATCGATCATGCAGCTGAACATGAAGTTGATCACCAAAATTACACTTTGCAGCTTGTTTCTGCAATTCAAGGGTAAATTGTCTAACCTTTTGATTGTTTTGACGAATCACTTCGTGAAATTTTGCTCTTCCATGACATTCCAAGATAGTACACTTTAGATGATTTAATAGTAGCATGTTAATTAAGAGTATGTGAATTGTAATACAAACTAGGAATTGCAGAAGCGACGCAATTTAATCAACAAGTACTATATAAGCACGAACGAATGTGTTGTATTTGGAATTCGAAATCAATCATTCAACAGGTACAGAGGATTCGTTATTTCGTACAGACACCACATGTAGTTATTTCAGAGTTGCATTATTTTTTATTTATTTATTTCAACACATAGATATTGGTACAAAGATATATAAAATACATATGCGCCACACAAATCTCATTCGATATGTGTGAAATAGGCTTATCTGGTAATACCAAAATTCTTAGTAGGCTGTAGGCATCTTTTCCGATGAGCGTAAGGAAATGAGCCACAATTTTATCATCCTTAACATTTTTCCTGGTCATACTCCAGATTTCAAACCTTTCCATGTCATTTTTGAGAACATTAGAATTCGAATATATATCGAACTGTCCAAACACAGGCTATATTGCGACGGCAATATGATAATTAGAAGTATTCCAATCACCATGTTATCATGTTATATCCACTTTCTGGTTGCGTAACAGATTTTTTTACCCATTTTGAGCTCTTCAGTGACAAAATATTACCAGTTTTTACATAATCAGTCACAAAATGCAAGGTATCTAGCACTGCACTCTTAGTTCTACTCAAAGCATATTGATTAGTTCTATAGGACGGGTTTGTACAAATATCAATTATTCTACAAACCACATCAAAGTAATTTAACTGAACTATGAATTTTGTCAATTATTTTACTACTATTTAGTTTGTGATTAATACTTTTACAAACGAAAATGTATTTATTACGGTTTGATAATAATTTATAAGTTTTCGCTGAAAATTGTATCTGTTGTTCATACACTAATGTTGTACTCTAACTGTTATAACGGTTGGGTTTTCACGTTTGCATGTATGAGACATTAATTTACCTTAGACGAATGTCCACACTAGATTTCATCCCAGTGTCTATTCTACAGGACTTCAATATAAATCAGATCAAGAACACGTGATTAGCCTGACTAGAACTCAAATATATTTCCATACCAAAAACCGACACAAACCAACAACAGTGAACAATCAATAATAATACTTATAAGGATAGGGGAATATATAACTCATCTGACACCTGTCAGACTATCTACATGCCTGACTAAGCAGACAACCAATCATTATCATTCTCGCTTACACATCACTAACCCAATAAAGTTGCGTTACAAATTAGTTTATTTTCTTTAGTTTCATTCTCTAGATTGTGATTATCCCATTGGTTAAACTTTCATAATATTGTAGGGTTGAGAAATGAGTATCGAATGCGTCAAATAAACAAATTTCTACCTTAGTATTGTGGTTAGAAACTTGTATGGTGTAAAATTACACCACACACTCAAATGATAAATTTTCAGTGTAAAATTTTTTTTATTCTAAACTGCTCAAATGACTTAAACGATTTTCTGATTAAATTATTTTCAAATGTAAAAGTCGTAATATTTTGTTCATTATGAAAATTAATTGAACTTCAACTAATCAGATTGCAACTGGAAGTAGTTTAAAATCATTTAAATTATTTTGTAGTTTAACATAGATACTCATTTTAGAGTACAAAATGTGTGGTAAATTATTTTGATAACAATTAAACTACTCACCATTCTTTTAATATCTATTAAAATCCAACCACATTTCGCTTACTATTAAGCGACTAAGTGTTAAATATAAATTTTCTAGCAAAAACAAGTACTTAAATTGTTTCTAAGCTGATTCAGACGATACTACTTTTATTCGTAAACATTTATTATCTACTGTATTTGGGATTATAGCTCGGTCTCACCACATTCTTATGGGTGGTACAGTTAAACGATTTTCGGTGGCACTTATCATCGTATATAAACAAATATTTTAGATTTCGTGGTTAATCATTTATACGAAAATTTGAAAGATGAATTATGGATACTCAAAAACCTAAAAGATTCAAGTCTGACTGGTTACAGAGGTCCTCAAATTCTTTTTTAAAAATAGGTTTAATATCTGTGCCAGTAATTATGAAGTATGATTATGTTTGTACATCTTATATTTTGAATGGATACAGCGAAGATGCAAACACTAATTTTCCGAAAGTAGGTTTTATGAGTCGATTACTACTAAGACAAACCTGTGTTTCATGGGCATAGGTCTCACTTTCTGGATTTAGAACTTGCCAACAATATCTTCCAAGTTACTTTAACCTAGTAAAACAGAGGCCATATATCAGGTCTTAAATACTTTCTTATTATTCTATGGATAGTAACTGAGTCAAAACATAATTTACGATTGGATAGTATGGACAAATCTAACTTATGAAGCCTTTTATCTCAAGGTAAGCACAGGATCTTCGGTGATCCACGATTAGTGGTTCTCTCAGTTCATTTCCGGATATGTGAGTTATCTTTCAAACACCGCCGTGTAGCCTACCGACTGCATCCAATTTTAGCTTGTAAAGGTGTTGAGTAACTTGTATCAGAAACTTTTTTACCCAACGTCGTAAGAGTTCGTCATAACATTAGTACTATGTTACAAACTTAAAATGAAAGCCAAACAACAATAATCCACGGATTCCGAATCATGATCTTTATGACTTGTGTCATTTCGACTAAGATTTAAAGGGAAGTTTGTAGTTGATGCCAGCTGCATTTGCGGTGTGCCTAAAGAATCACTTAGCTAGACTGATAGATTTCAGAGATATCTTAGATCACTTTTCAAAGTACACAGATCGATAACAATTGTTCTCGGTTTTCAGAAAGAAACTTTGAAACTGGTCATCACTCTAAATCCCTGATTGACGATAACATTTATAATTCTTTTAAACAGACACCTAGTGGTCTATATAACTTCAAACTTTATTATAAATTCAGTTTATGAAGCCTTGTTCGATGTTTAATAACAAATGACTTTAAGTAATAATCCTGGCCAACATCTACAGAAAATAAAATATTCTCGACTGCCACTTTTATAAGAGGTAGCTTACAAAAACGTTTCTCTGAAGTAGTCGACCTCGCATTTCAATCTTGATCATCTTAAACCTCATGACGTGCTTTCATCTTCCTAACTAAAATACTGATCCGTGGATAAATTTTAGTCTCGAAATTTATGCGATAGAAACGTTGCCCGAGTTACTTCATAACATCTTACAGAAGTCGGTTTGCGCACTGCATCTGAGACTATTGAATTGTAACAATACTTCGGTTCCGGATAGTCTTATAGAACTGCTTAGATTCAATAACATCGAGATCGATTATGACATACCGAAGTTTCATGTCAATCTAACTATAATCTACTAATATCATCTTCATGGAGGACGACTAAGTCACGAATTGATGAGTAGTGTTAAAAGTAACTCTCCTGATGCGCTGGACAAGAACAAGGGGTAGGATTGATTCTAAAGGCAAGTTACATAGTCTACCCAGCTAATAGAACTTTGTTTCGAATTAACCTAATTATTCCATTTGAATTAAATAATAAGTGTTTTGTATATAACAGCCAGTCTTATTGGACGTGGTCCAGCAATCCCTGGTTCATTCGTGACTATTTGAGTACATTTTGGATAGATGTGCGAATATTTGTATTACGTTAATGAAATAGAATACTTTTAATTACTCCATAAATTATTTAATTTTTTTCTACTTATGATTGTGAATACTATCGTTCTAAGTAGGTCATTCAGCAGGATGTTAGTATTTGTTTTGTTTTTGAACGATAAAATTTAAAACAGAAAAGTTGAAGAAACAGTTGAATAAATTTATCAACAATGTAAATACAAATCATGATAATGAGGACTTTGGATCCATCCACAGAAAAATCCTTTGTTTTACAGGTCATATTTCGAAGGTAGAAAGATGTTTTTACCTGTAGAATTAAAGGTGAATAGATGTTGTTTGCTTTTCAGTGGTTTTAATGGCTTGCCGCCTATTACAAAACCAGACACGAATAACTTCACGATCATAAGTCAAGGCTTTGGCTAACTCAGTCATTTCAGCTTCTAAAATTCAGTTTAAAAAAACAATCATAGCATTTTTGAGGAGTTCAATGAAACAGAAAAGTAGATTGATAGGAGACAGTGACAAATTCTAAGCAACCTTGTGATTTATAAAATGTGCTTTATAAAACAATAAAGCATTTAAAAGTGAAAACATTTTAAAAATGGATTAGTAAATAATGACTCAAAGTTAAATTACAGAAAATCCTCAGTGGCAGAACACCGTGATGTTTCTAGAAATAAGATCATGTACAGTAATGTAGACTGTTTCATATTTCTAGCAGCTGAGAGATGAAAAATAACCATCAGTAAGCAATAGTTTATTTAATTAACAATGATCATTTAAAATCTAAAAATCACTTCCAAGAACAAACAAGGTAGATAAGAAGCAGTATATCTTCTATTTTCACATCAGAAGATGATATTTCATTAACATAATGTTTAGTCTCATTTGCTCAGTAATTGCTAACTCTAAATATTATATAAACTTAGTTTTATGTTTTTACTGACTTCAATCATTTCCGATTTTTGCATTATACTCTCAAGTTTATGTGTAAAAAGTATAACAAAAGCTATTTGTGTCTCAACTCAGTCCTTCACCTACCTTACAGTATTTTTTCAAGACTTGATAGATAAATTACATACACAAATTGCAGTACAAAGTAGGCAAATCTTACTTCAAAAACACACAAGAACACTCATGTGCCCGAAATATCCCCTTCTAAATATCTAAGTGAGATGTTTTACTGTGTTTAGTTTAGTTAATTTCTACAATGTAGTCAAATAAACAAATGGATGTACTTGTCGAATTCCTATATGGACAGAAATGTTACTGCTAAAGCTTACTGGGTGATATTAGTAACTACGTTTGGATTTCATAAGTTTAACTCTGACATCAAAACTAACAGAACTGTTCGTAAATAATTTATCTGAGTATATTGTTCAAGTTGTGTTGTCCGTTGTAGGTTTATTCGAATAATAGAAAAAATCATGCTAATCTACAGATTTTTAAGTTAATTGCATTATCTCAGTACATTATGTTACTATATACACTATACACTATAAACAAATGCAGTGGATAATAGAGATATTTGAATGACGTTTATCTGTAAACATCAGACATTATTTACAATGACCAAACTAATACATTTTTACTTATTATAAAAAATGGTTTTATGATTGTTTGAACCGTTTTAATGGTCCCCGGAGTAATCAACATGAATTAATTTTATTCCGAAAGGAAAATATCTCTTAAAGAAGTTGAAGTCAGAAACAGTTTTCAAGTTAGCTTTACTGCAGGTTTACACGTGTAATTAATCAATGAAATTATCACCAACAGCCGCAGTGGTCATTTACCAGAACCTCATACATTTGGTAGATATATCTAAGTAACTTCACCATTCTGATTGGATATTAGTATCTTGATTTTGATATTTCAAGACATCTCTCGTCAGAGGCTGTATCTCATCTGAAATAATTAATTTGATTAGCAGTAAATGGTTTGATATTATCTTCGTTATATCAAGAAAATATTTTAACACAATGCTTCACTTCTATTACCCTAAAAACGTATGTCCTACTTTCTACCCAGTCATGAACCTGATCCTTCATGTTGGATGACTCAGGGTAAACCGGAATTAACAATCCACTTAGGCCTCATTCTTGTAGTTTATCAATAAAATGACATTGAAGAGCCCCATAGTTTTGTGAAGACTTGAATCCAAGTCGCTCAGCGCTCCATAATGGAGTGTCTAGACAGCATCTAGTCCATTTTATGACTGCCAACGTTTCAGATTCAAAATCAGTGATGGAATTTCTTTTTCGTTATGTTCATAGATACATGCTGCCGAAAAATGCAACAAGTACAAAAACCAAGGTATACTGATTACTCGCAATAGGCTCGAAGGATTCACTATTAAATAAAATATACGTCAGTATCAAATAACTTAGTTAACTGATTGAGTTTCAAACCTGATTAATAAAATTCAGCTACAACTAAATGGCTAATTAGTTTGGGCTTCACTTTCTATCAACAATCTAAATCACTATAAAGTTTAATACTGGAAATTAAGGAAATTTTTATTTCTAAATAAGTATATAATCACTTGTTGGGTAAGGATTCCTCTCAAGTTGGTGCAATAAACACTTTAGTGCTTTAGTACTGAAACAGGTTCTACGTTTACGCTTCCTAGGTGGTCGGTGTACAAGTTGAGCTCCAAAAGAATCATTTGCTCCATTGTGATGCATTGCCTGGGTTTCAGATAACCAACGTTCTAAGACAGGTTTCATTCGTTTTGCGGATTTTAAAGTTACATCAAGTTTCTCGAATCTGAAACAGATCATCAGAAAGTATATTTTAGTTTTTTTAGCACTTTTATATGCTCATAGTATAGTTTTTAAACAATGACGATTACGTAGAATCAACATTTTAAACAACATTTTAAAGGTGGTAATAAACCATGCCTCAAATTAAGATTGTAGAGCGGTATATGTTTATAGTCTTCCTAAAAAACCCAAAAACTTTCAGGTTGATAACCATCAAGTTAGCTTCAAAATATTTGGACAGTGTGATATTAATTAACATGTTTAAGTACGTTCATCTACTATTATACAATTGGTTGATCAAATCCTAGATAAGTTGCTATTCGTTTAAATTTCTAACAATAATTTTGATAATAAGAGTGTTTAAGTCTTTGATACTAAAATTTTGTTCATGGGTAAGTGCCAGAATGTTGTAGAGTGAGTTCGCTTAACTTTATGTCCAAGCTATTTTGTTGCTCATTCTTCCCTGCTTTATTAACCTAATCAACCTTGTAATGGAATGATTCGCGTTTTTTAACGTAGGAATTATGCTTATCTATCAATCAACCAACACCGTTAGGCTTGATTGATTTTTTAAAGTTTCAACCTTATTCCCCTTTTTTCAGATGAATTTTGCCCACAAGATTATGTTGTTTGTTCGTAATTATATCGTCTTGTTCGAGGTTTCATAAAAGAAAGATATAAGAAAGTTATATTTATTGGGTTATGCGGGCTATTTATGAAGCTCAAATTTTAATTCCTGGTAAAATTAAATACGGAAATGTCAAAAAGTAAGTTACGATGACCACTTTAATAGTACGATTCAATATCTTGTATGCAATCCATTGTTTTCAACGCTTCTGGTAACAGTGAATGGAAATTTATCCCAACTACTTCTTAGCTTGTAAACTATTGATAATAACATGCTGCATACTCCAAGTTTAACTTTCTGGCAACTGATCAATACCGTACATAATACTTATTTTTGGAAAGAAGATAGAGGATATTAGTAAATACTTTTGAGGAGTCAAAGCTGTAATCTAGTGGCAGTTCAGAATTTTACGTTTCTAAATGTGTTTTTTTTTTAAAAATTTATTACGATAAATAAAAATAACCAACATGAATCCAATGTTATGACTTACCGACAGATTGCACTTTGACTATAAGCAGGTCCTTCTTTGGCATTTAAAGAAGCTCCAACTTGTGTCTGTGTCAAACCCAAACTGAGTCTACGCAATTTAAACAAGTGTGCAAATTCATATATTTCCGCCAAATCATCATTAAGTGAAATTCTATCTTCTTTCTCTTGTATCATTGTTTTCAATCTTTGTGATTTTGATGAAGTGCGTAAAGACGAATTATCTGTTTGATCATTTGAAGCAGTCTTTGAATCGACTAAGTCTTGATTTAAATTTGATAGCAGGGATTCACATTCACTATCTGAATCGTATGCTACCGATTGACTGTTAATAAGTAAGTTGTTCTTTATGTGTGATGAAATATTTTTCTGTTGGTTGGAAATTTGTTCACATTTATATTGATCCTGTGAAGTCAAACTGCCACCAACTACAAAAGATGAAAGCCATCTAAATAAGGAGAAAGTATGATGTCGACTTTTTTCTGATGAATTTATCTAGGTAAAAAGTGAACATTCAAAATCTACTTTCAAAAATATGATTCTGTTTTTGACATGAATTATGAAGCATAAGAAAACGAATTCATAACCCTCTATATGTCACTGATATATAATCGATTCACTGAACTTGTCTCCTCATGCCAGTAATAAGATTTTGTCAATTTCATCTTGAATCATTTGAAATATTTACCATAAAATAATTTTATAAATCAATTTATTTTCTGCTTTATAAACATTATTAACCCAGATAAGCTAAAGTTGAGAAATGTATTCCCATAATTTATGTTCTTTTAGTAAATGTCACGATAATAAATTAAAAACACTCTGTTGGGGAAATTTTCAACTATGTATCGCTGGTGACATTATTTTATAAACTATAGAGTCACCGAAGTTATTCCATGGTCAAAGCAGTTCAACTTGATTCGGGTTTAAACTGACAGTTATTCCTAAGCGATTTTCAGAGATCAGTAATGGACAATAATGTAAACCTAATGTCCAAACTTTAAAATATTTCGAAAATATAGTTGATTTCAAACTATCCACCAGGATGGCAGTTCACATTTAAACACATTAACACCAATGTTATTAAATGCAATACTGAATAACACTGAGGGGAAATCTCTAGTGACAAAAGTATTTCCTTTGTAATCGGTATTGGTAAACATGAAATATAAGTAAGGAACTTTCTCCATGTTAATCCCATATAGTTAACAATGATCAGTATGAAATGTGATCATGCCTTATTGTTCAAACAATTTCAGATCGTCATAGAGGAAGAATAAATTTTGATTATGATAACAGATTGTAATCCGAATTTTCTTCTGATTTTATTCACCTGTTTATAATTATGGTTTATTTATTAATTAGCGCACTAACTCCCATCTACAGAAGCTATGTGTAATATTGTTTCCACTATATAAACCTGTGACAGACTTCAAATGGAAAAAGTTACAATTTAATAAAAACGATAATGTCTACTTTACCATTTCAACTAAACACCTAGTTTGATAGTATTTAGTTTTAAAATCACGAAACTTGCATGTTACACAAAAGCGTAATTACAATTCCTGTTCTTGTAAAATATGTTAACATCATCCACTCAATGGAACAGAGCTCCAAAAATAATCAATATCAATTAACTAAGATATTTTATTATATAATAGTACATTTTATCCTTGATTCATCATTCATTAAACATTAATTGTTGTTTGCTAATCATCCCAACAAGAAAGAAATATTGATTTAATTGTTCTATAATTGAACATTCATACAAATGAACAGTTATCATGTGCTAAAAGGAATAAATATGTGTGGATATTTAAATTTGGGTGAGTATATAATTTGACTTCACTACTAATTTATCTATCTGCCTACAAAATAATCATACTGACTTATAAACTAACTAGTTCATATTCTTCTTAGTTTTACTATGTGATACAATCAAATATCAAATTTTTATTTAATATTTTAAATATATATTATCAGAGAAAAGTGTATACATTGCATAGCCGTGTAATTAACACGGCTTAGAAATAGTCATTTATTTAGACGCTTCATCAGTAATCAGAGATCGTCACTGACTTTACATGATTGGGAAAATAAAAGCATCAACCATAAATTCGATAAGAAAAATATTTCCTTATCAAGCTGTTTTAATTCTTAATTAGTTTATGATTTCTTTGCATCAAAATATAACTAGTCTAACTAAAGTCTAGGCTAAACTGGAGGTATGAAAGTGTTTTAGCATGTCACATCATTTCACTGATGTTAATGAACCATTTAACATGATTTTATTTTCATTATTAGTAGGAATGAATTAGAACTCATAGATAGGTTAAAGATGATTGTGTTTCTTATCGGTAAAAATTTCAGCTAAATTATCCATTTCAAACAAAATTCAGTAGTTCATAAGAAAATTAATATCACTCCGTCCATCCACCATGAGTGATATTATTGACCGTTCTTTTTTCATACTGTTTGTAGAAATCGTTTAAAAAACAGGATCGTGAAGGTGCATTTGAGTTCTAATGTTATTATATAAAGGGGAATGCTTCCATACATTTTCTTTTCTAATACAATTCTACATATTGTAAGAGATGAAAGCAAAATTATCATTGCAAAAAGAACTACATAAACTTATCAGGTCATGAAAGCAATTGTGATGGTATTGTCTGTACATCAATGGATTAAAAATGTTTGAAATTGTCATAATGAACAACGTAGTATTTCATTAAAACAAACAACAAAATAATCAAGATATCTTACTTTGATCCCTCGTATTTGCTCGAAAGTGTGTATTTGATAAATTATTATTATTGTTATTACAGTCAGTTTCGTTGTTTAAGTTACCTGTTGTCACAAACACTTTGTATTTGTTATTATAAATCTGAATTTGTTTTTGAAGTTCTTCAATCGAATCTATACTATTGTGTAAATTATTCTGTTGAACTAAGAGATAAAAGTAGCGTAACCAATTCTCATAAAACGTTTTATATGATGATGGTTTGTTGGATGGATCATATTCTTCGGTTGGAATTAATTTAGGATCTAAGTGTAGGAATGATTGAGCTAATGAGTCCAGCGATGGATGGTAATTTGATGTGATTGGAAAGGGAGGTGTTCTGTGTTTGATTGTTTTTGATGAAAATATTGTATTCCCAGCAGTTAATGCTAACGGTTGCAAGCAAGATCCAAATGAATGTTCTTCAGTAATATCGTCGTCAGTCATATTTTTTTAGTACATGTATATTTTAGGATCTAAATTAATATCTAGACAAATTAAAGTGAATCATTCGTGATCTTATTAATATTGAAATAAATGAATTGAACAGTTATTAATTCTACTAATTATACACATTATTATTTAGTTCTTCATAAACTGATTAGACTTGAAAATTGAAATTGTCAAAACCACAATTACAACTTAAAGATGAAGTAACTACCCATGTAACATTTGTAGCAATTTGGACGTGAGCTGAAGTTACAATTGCTATACAAACCGACACCAAGCAGGTCAGACTAATTCAGTAGACTACCCTTATTTTTGGTTTTAGAATAAAAAAATGGATCATTCGTTTTGTAAATCAAGCTTAACAAACAGAAACTAACAAGCTTTACGGATAGTCACAACTGGAACACTTCAACCGTTTAAGACAAAATGCTTCTTGACATAGAATAATAAAATTATTTTATCAGATTAAGAAAGTCATTTTTCAAAAGTTAAATGCGCTTAGACCTCTCATTGGGATTTTTACTAAGTTATAACTCAATTTAAGTTAATCAGTCCCTGAAAACTACTGACCTTATAAATTCCACGATCTTGTGATGTATTTCAAATGAAGTTTTGTATTTGTAAAAGATTTTATTCCTCTGTAGTAGATACTTAAGATTGTAGCTGATCAAATTTTGTTAGAATGAGTAAATATTGAGTGGAGACCTCGATGATGCGCTTCATAATTAAAAATTCTTAGTCCTCTTAAAAAGTATCTAGCAGTTGGATCATGGACGCTCAATTAATCTCATTCCCAGCCTTTGAAAGATGTTTGTTGAAGGCATTTGGTTGATAAAGTGAAAAGATTGGCATCAGCGATCAAACAAGATATTGAATTAAAATACCATGCGGCAAGTACAAATATATGGAACGAAATCATAATGGTACAATATGTAAAAGAACACGTAATCTTTTTCACACTTGAAATTACAAGTCGATCTAAGCTAGACCACCACTGAAAACCTGGACGCATTGAACGGCCATTTCTTGTTAGTACGGGACTCCTCTGTAGTGCTCATCCACGATCCCACATGCGGAACCCGAACCTAAGACCTTCACTCCTGCGCAAGAACACTCAACCTCTAGACCACTTAGCCGGTATCAAACGGTGTTAATGTCTAATTTCAATCGGTTCATGATCTTTCACAACCCTTCATCCATTGTTTGAAGTAGATAATTGTAAGATTCTTATAGAAAGTATTTATGTTTCACTAGAACCTCCCAGTCTTTTCACTACATATCTGAAATATTTTATTCAGTTATTACATTTTGGTCTTCAAATATTTAACTTTCTATAAACTACTACGGAACTTTAGCTAATGAGGATATCTGTTTTTTCATACTTTGAGGTAAGTACCATCCACAAATCCATTGTATGTTTATTAACTTGAAGCCATATTATTCAATCCTACCCCCAAATATGATTAGATGGTATTACATGGGTTGCAACGAACCCCACGTAGAGACTAGTATTGTTCATGGACATAGCATTTGATATCCACAAAGTTATCATCTGCATTTAATGGTAACTTAAACATATCTTATAAACTGGGGATTTTGACCGTCAGGATAAATGACTCAAAGACCCAATCAGAACTGTAAAGTAAAGTATAACGTGATCTAATAACAAATTATCTATTCTTAATTAATTTTTTTTTCAATGTAAAAATTATTAGCATATTCTCCGTTCTGAAACTGATGGAATATTTTTCGGTGGTACATATTTTCTCTATTCAATCAACTTATGTATAACACTATCATCATCCATTATCATAAATAGTAACTACTTTGAGAAATCCATCTCTAAGCTATCCAATATCAAGTATCAGATGATTATTTCCTTGCCTATATTATGGAAATTTGTCGAAAATGGATCTTGATCGGTAGAATAATTGTACATCAACAAATACTTAGATTTCGATATGTGTATAAAATCATTTTGGAATTCCATTGTTTGAATTAGAATAACCAAAGATTCACGATTCTGGATAAAAACTGTCTTCGTATCGTGTTTTTAAAACTTATAAATTTGACTTTCACCACTATATTATCATAGAAGTCGACGAATTCTTTGTGGTTTTCATGAATTTAGTCAATAATTATTATGAAAAACGTCTGTGAAGAAATAAAAGGAACTATGGAAAGCCAATTAAATTAATAAAGATCACTTGCTACTAATTAAATATACTTCACACTGTAATCATGTTTTTTTTAAAAATAAAGACCTTACATAATAAAATAATGATAGTAAAAAGATATTTACTCACTTAAAATTATGTTTTAGAAAGTATCAGTTGTATAAGGTAATTATCTTTTCCAGCTTCCTTTATCTACAGGCGCTAATAAAGTAAATTATGATAGGCAGTGAAATTATAGTAAATCAGGCACATAGTAGGCAGGGAAACAGACAAGCGCCTTCCCTTCAATCGAACATTTAAATTATTATTTTTACTATTAACATTATTATCATTAATATTCCTACAACATTAATTAGTATTTATATCATGAGGTTTAATATAATTATGGTTTTTCAAATATTTACTATGCAATTGTTAGGGCATTCGAATGTCCCCTCTCTAATTCATTTCGTTTGTCCCCCACGAATAATCTATTTTAATATATATGTCCTATATTCTTATAAGATTGGCTGGTTATTTGTCCAGCCATCAAAAGTTCAACTACACTTTGCTTGTGTGTACACGGGCACAAACCTGTTCCTATCTTGTAAAGTGAATTATGGAAAAAAAATGCTTGTGTGCGTGCAACCTGTGTTTAGAAATATACATTTATAAAAGTAAATTTAGTTATAGGTAGAAAAGTCAAAAATCTACTTATATGCCAGACATTACCAAAGTAAATACGGAGATCCGATTACTGTCTACAAATGTTTACGTTTCCACCTCAAGTAGAAAGACTGACGAAACGCTTTAAAAGGAAGTTTATAAAACTTTTACTGAAAACTATCATTAAAATAAAGTTTAGAAAAAATGCTTGAAAACGAGTTCTATACTATATCAAATTCACTTGGAAAATAATCATAAACGTTGTATCATTAGGCAACTATTTTGTACTAGTTCAAAATCGTCGAGCGTTAAAATCGTGGACAGTTTCAGAATAGATCATATGATATTCAGATTTTTAGTAGGCTCATCCTTTGTGGGCGAAATTTAAAAGTTTATTCAAAGCACAATAGTAATGATAATAATAATCCTTAATAATAAGGATAAAAATTCTGACATATATATTCCACTAACACCATTCATAGTCCAATATAGAACATAAGGGGAAAATTTAAAGCTCTATCATCGAACAGCTGGTTGAAACTAGTCACCAGAATAATATAGCAATTAACTCCGAAGATTATCTATCGCATTCCATCCAAACCTTACTAGGCAAAAACAAACCTCAAGTGGCTGAATGAACTAAAGTAAGCCATTAGCCCAGTTAAATGAATATCTAAGGCTGAAATGGTAGGATAAATGATAGATTCGCTTTAATTATTTTATGAGCGTTAGAATTGATGTCCATACACCATAAAACTCAGTGAACAGATAGTGAGGCTGTTCCTTTGGTTATCTCTTCACTGTTTTTATTTCAGAAAAACTAATAACTTATGCTTCAGCTAATTATCAAAATCTAAAACGTATCATTTTCTTTGCCACTTAATTATTTGTTCTACAATGTTAAATGAAATTCAATACAATATCCTGTATTGTAAGTCAATAAACTAGTTTTCCTATACAATTTGTATAGTAGATGCTTCATTTTAGTTTTACTAAGATTATACTCTTCATTTTCTCTGAGATTTTATAAAAGCATTTGCATTTGAACTAACAGAAAGAAGCTTGAGAAGGATATTGTAAATTTCAAGAAACTACTTATGGAACAATCAGTTTTTATATTCTCTTTGTATTTGTGTTGGGGTGATCCAGAAAATTTCTGACAAAAGGCAAGCAAGGATCAGGAAACACTAAGAAGCATTTCATCCAATCAGTGTTCACTTGAAGTTTTAGCCAGAAACATCAAGGAAGTGAAACGTCTCATGTAGAGGTTCTGATTGGCTGATTGCTATACTGCCACTATGTTTAGTAACATTCCAGAATCTTTGGGCAACCCAAGGACATTAAAAAAACCCTATATTTTCTGTATTAAGACGAACCATTGGAGTGGGGTGCTTCTTGCATATTTTGCGCCTTTTCTCTCTTGTTCAGGTCGTTGTATAGTGCTGGCTTGAGGGTTACAGAATAGCTTAGGAAACGAATATAGCGTTCAATTCGCACAACTTATCAATTTGCTAAACAGTTATTTTGTAGTATTTTTATATGCCTCTAGTCCTAAGCTATCATTTGACTCAATCACTGTTGCGGTATTTTTCGACGTTCACTAATTACATGTCATTATTAATAAACCTGTCATTCAACCGTCCCATTATTGTCCTAGTTGTGTATTGATTGAGATTGATTAATTATTTGTTTGTTCTGATCTTACATCTTATGTATATAATTGAGTTTTTGAGTCTAGATAAAACATAGTAATATCAGGTATACCATATACTTTCAATTTTTTCTTTCTTTCGAAAATCAACTTCAAACTCATACTTAAACTACGACGACACCTATGAAAGTATGTAGTAAAGCAATATTACCATGTTTTTGTAGTTATATTTAAAACTTCATAAATTATATCATTTGAAATACCAACTAAGTTTTTGACACTCAATTTTAATTGATCTACTTGATTAAAAGTCGTCTTCTCTTTTCATAAAATAACAACAGTAATAACTAAGGCAAATAGGAAAGAAAGGGAGGGGGAAGGAATCTGTGAAAATAAAGTTGTAAAGAAGGGATAATCATTAGTACTCTTATGAAAAATGAGTGTACACATTTATGATGGACATGTGATGTTTATACAAAACTGTCTTAATAAGATTGTCATTGTATATATATGCGTAAAGTGGG